CACACCTGTATTCCTAGTACTTCGAAAGGTTGGGGTAGGTAGATCACTTGAGCCCAGGAATTGGAGAGCAGCCCGGGCAACATGGTGAAACCCCATCTCTGCCAAAAAAAAAAAAAAAAAAAAATACAAAAACAATTAGCCGGGCAGGGCGGTGTGGGCCTGTAGTCCCAGCTACTCAGGAAGCTGAGGTGGGAGGACAGCTTCAGCACAGGAAGGGGAGGTGCAGTGAGCTGTGATCCCACTACCACACTTTAGAATAATAGTAATATTGGATGCAGTAATTCCTTAATAAATACGTTTAAGTGAAATACCAATGAATATCTAATAAAAGAAAAAATTAAAAGAATGAGGCTGGTGAAATACACTAATGGTAGTTTGTTTTTTGTTTGATTGCTTTTTACCAAATGAAAATAGTTTTCTTGTTTTTGTTTGTTTGTTTTTGTTTGTTTCTGATTGTAAAAATAAGTAGTCACCTAGAAATGTCAAACAAGGCAGAACTGTATAGAGGGAAAAATTAAAATGACCCCAAATCTCCCCATCAAGAGGGAACCACTGTTGACATTTTGGTCAGTATGTTTTATTATTATTATTATTATTATTATTATTACTATTATACTTTAAGTTCTGGGGTGCATGTGCAGAACGTGCAGGTTTGTTACACAGGCAAACACGTGCCACGTTGGTTTGCGGCACCCATCAACCCGTCATCTACATTAGGTATTTCTCCTAATGATATCCCTCCCCTAGTCCTCCGCCCCCTGACAGGCCCCGGTGTGTGATGTTCCCCACCCTGCGTCCATGCGTTTTCACTGTTCAAGTCCCACTTTGGTGAGTATCTTTTTAAACAGCTTTCTTTTCTTTTCTTTTTTTCCTTTTCGAGATGGAGTCTCGCTCTGTCGCCCAGGCTGGAGTTCAATCAATGGCGCGATCTCGGCTCACTACAACCTCCGCCTCCCGTATTCAGACGATTTCCTGCCTCAGTTCCCGAGTAGCTGGAATTACAGGCACCCACCATCATGTCCGGCTAATTTTTGTATTTTTATAGAGACAGGGTTTTGCCATGTTGGCCAGCTGGTCTTGAACTCCTGACCTCAGGTGATCTGCCTGCCTCGGCCTCCCAAAATGCTGAGATTACAGGTGTGAGCCACGGTGCCTGGCCTTAAACAGCTTTCTATGAAGCTAAAAACAAAATTAAATTGCTACTAAGATAGATACATACTGTCTACAACCTGAACACGGAGGTGTACTGTATTTGATTTAAACAACTGTGTTAAGTGATAGACTCAGTTTCTTTGAATTTTCTAGCTATAGTAAACAACTCTAAGAATATCCTTGAATATGCATCCATCCACACTTGAAAAAGTACAGCCTGGAAGAAATAATGATAAGTAGAATGTCTAGCAAAGAATATATAAATTTTAGATTTTGACTCATAAGGGCAGAATACATTCCAGAAATACAGAAATGTACAGTTCCAATAATAGTCATTCACTATTTTCTTATATTCTCTCCAACATTTGATATATCAACATATTTTTAAAATTTTAATGAGATAAAGACTTCATTTTAAAAATTTATTATTATTACTGAGATTGTTTTTTCACTTTTTTTTGCTATTAGCATTTTTCTAGCTGCTAATGCCTCTTACTAACTTTTATTCTATTTTTATTTTTATTTTTTTGAAACAGGGTTTCACTCTCTTGCCCAGGCTGGAGGGCAGTGGCCCAATCACAGCTCACTGCAGCCTCGACCTCCCAAGGCTCAGGTGATCTTCTCACCTCAGCCCCCGTGGGCCACCACACTCGGCTATTTTTTGTTTTTTTAGTAGAGATGGGGTTTCAATGTGTTGCCCAGGCTGATCTTGAACTTCTGAGCTCAAAAGATCCAACGGTCTTGGTCTCCCAAAGTGCTGGGATTACAGGAGTGAGCCACTGCACCCAGCCTCTTACTGACTTTTCAATAGGGATGCTTGCTTCTTATTTTTTAGAGCTAATTGTATATTGGGAATATTAAGTATTTATGTATGTTGAAAATGTTTTCCCAGCTTATCACTGTTTTTCAATTTTGTTTAAAGTGTTTAAAATTGTTTTACATCAGTATATTTTAAATTTTTGAGTAGTTACTTGTACTTTCTGGATTTTATGGCATGCTTAAAAATACCTTCTCCACCCATATTTTAACAGAGGATAGGGAGAGGTGAAGAAAGAGAATAATATATAGACAGACATTTTGCAATTTATAAAAATAGGGAAAAAACTCAATTTATGTTGTAATCAAATCACAACAAAACAAACAACTACAAAACAGAAATTCTGAGCCTTTCAGAATAAAGAAAATTGAACCAGATAAATTTTGAAGGTTTTTATCTCTTCTGGGATGGTACCAATACGTGGAGAAATGCTTTTACTGATTCAACGAATATCTATTAAGTATGAGGCACTGTGCTTGAGTTTTAACTGAGAAAAAAAAGGCATTGATTCTGAAAATAAAGTAAAATTACTACTGCCAGCAAAGAGCTTACAGACTACAATAGTCATGTATGTACCAGAAACAGTAGGAGCCTAGAATCCTCCTCCCTTCTTTATCTTATTCTACTTCTAAACCATAGGAGGAACAGTTGGCAAAATACTAAAAATTCTAATTTCTTGAAAAACATTTCTTATGATTTCAAGATCACATACTTAGAAGAGCCCCAGCATCCCTTGTTCTGCATCTGCATCCATGGTTACTTCCCTGAAAGGAGGCACTGATGCCTTTGAGACACTGACTGGACTGTAATACCTAAACCTGTAATCATGTTTGATGCCAGGAAAATGTTTTCAAAACATCTGTACTATTTAACCAGCCAAGACATTTTGTGACAAATATTTGTGAATGCTTTCATCAAGAGATACTCATTCACTTGAAGTAACAGATGAAAACATTTGAAAATATTTGGTCATCTTAACTCTGTGTATGTGAGTGTGTGTGCATTGAATGTGTGTGCATGAAGGTGCATATGCTCATGTGTAACAGTAGAATTTCACATATAATTATGTCTTGAAGTTAATACACTTTCTGTATTTGATTTTATAAGAAAGAATGAAAGGCCATAAGAATCTATCTTGGCGGCCGGGCGCGGTGGCTCACGCATGTAATCCCAGCACTTTGGGAGGCTGAGGCGGGTGGATCACCTGAGGTCAGGAGTTTGAGACCAGTCTGGCCAACATGGAGAAACCCTGTCTCTACTAAAAATACAAGAAAATTAGCTGGGCATAGTGGCACATGCCTGTAATCCCAGCTACTTGGGAGACTGAGACAGGAGAATCACTTGAACCTGGGGAGGTGGAGGTTGTGGTGAGCCAAGATCATGCCACTGCACTCCAACCTGGGCAACAAGAGCAAAACTCTGTCTCAAAAAAAAAGAAATCTGTCTTAAAAATGGATGAAACAATAATAATCCCTTATTATTTTAATAGTAGGTGAGAAATTATTTTACCTTTATTATTCGGTCTTCACCAAAGCCTATGAAATAAGCACCAATATTTTAATTTTACATGATTGATTAAAAATTATGACTCAGTGTGATTAGGTAATTGAAGTTCCTGTTGGCTTTCAAAGATAAAAGTAAAACCCCAAGTTCATTGCTCTTTCCACCACACTACATCACACTGTGCTAAAGGCCTGTCTAACCTGTAAAAGGAGGTTTAGCAAGTAAGTTCTCAACTATCTAAGCTCCGTCTTTATCATGATTTCGTCAGCACATTGTGGTAGAAGGAACATGAGCTTTGGAGTCAAATACTGTTTAGTTTAGCCTAAAGCTACCTCCTTGTAAATTCAGCCTAAAGGTTTTTCTGGACATAGTGGACATAGTAACATGATGGGATGTGTGAACAGACTGTAATCTACTCTTGTACCAATCACCAAGTTTCAGCCAATCACAGGCAACCAACTATTCAGATAAGACCAAAGCCAAGCTCGAATCAATCTAGCTGTTGCTGCACCTCACTTCGTTCCTTTCTCTATACATCACTTTGCTGTTTTCTGTCAGTAAATCCTCCCAGACCACATTGCAGAGTCACAGTGGCTCTGAACCTTTTCTAGTTTGGGAGTTGTCTGATTCATGAAGGATTCTTTGCTTAATTAAACACTGTTGGATTTAATTTGTTTAAAGTTTTTCTTTCTTTCTTTCTTTCTTTCTTTTTTTTTTTTTTTTGAGAAGGAGTCTCACTCTTGCCCAGGCTGGAATGCAGTGACTCGATCTTGGCTCACTCCATGCTCTGCCTTCCGGGTTCACGCCAGTCTCCTGCCTCAGCCTCCCGAGTAGCTGGGACTACAGGCTCCCACCACCGTGCCCGGCTAATTTTTTTTGTATTTTTTAGTAGAAATGGGGTTTCACCGTGTTTGCCAGGATGGTCTTGATCTCCTGACCTCATGATCCGCCCACCTCGGCCTCCCAAAGTGCTGGGATTACAGGCGTGAGCCACCGTGCCTGGCCTAAAGTTTTTCTTTTAACAACACCTAGGTTTGAATTCCAGTTCTGCCACTTATAAGCTGTGCATATTTGGGCCTAAACACTCTGTCTTGCCTTCACTAGGAACCTTGACAATGATAACACAATGGAGATTTGTTGTGATAGCTCTGGCAAATAACAGGTGATCGAGAATGTCTTCGAGACATTGACTTAACTCTCCTGGGATGCTGTCAGGAGACACACAGTTGACTTGGGCACTGTAAGAATTGTGGGCAATGGGGCCCTGGACATAGAGGCAAGAGCCAATAAATAGGAGTCAGTGTTGAGCTCTGCTTTAATCCACATGCAGAGAATTGGTATTTGGCCATGATTAGATTCTTCTCATCTCTGATTCTCATATTCACATATGTCTAGGAGGCATTATATCAAGAAGACAGAAGTGGAACCTTGGGAACATGAGAGAAAAGTAGGAATGACACTTGTGAATACTTTTTACAAAGGCCAAAGTGAGTTTATCTAATCCCTTTTTTCTTTTTACTCTATATAGACGATGGTGTCTGTGTCTTTAAATGCTTACTCAACAGAAACACTGAATGTTGCCGTGTGGGGAAGGAGTCCATCTTGATTACTCTGGGGTACAGCAGTGCTTTGCTGAAGTTTGAGTCTCATGCTGGTAAGTTTTGTGCCTATCCAGACCCCCTGTCTTATTCAAAGAAGAATCTCCTGATTGGCTCACTTTCAGTGGTTACTGATTAGTTGGCTTTCAAAGCATGTTTCCTGATATAAGTCAATTCTCATGCATTGATAAAATGATTTTAAGCTGGTCTTGGTACTTACTTGATACCATAGCTAGAGAACAATCAATCTTTTCCTAGAGTATGAGAATGTTTTTATTCTTAGCCCTCCTTTTGGTCTTCCTTCATCCAAAGCTGCAGGGGAGACCACCAAAGGTTGTCCAGATCTTCACCACTGTGGTCAATTCTCCTTGAAAATGAGGTTGTTTGCAGAAATGTGACTTTCAGTTTAAGTGTTGGTCAGAATGATTTCATCCTGTTTTTGTCTTTGAATCATTTATTGAGCATTTTTAGACTCTGGACAACAAAAATCAAACAACAGAGAAGTAAGTGAAAGTGTAACTAGAAGTATTTTAAGAAAGTACTGAACTACCCTCTGAAAGATTTCCAGTCTGATAAAGAAAATTAGAACCAACAATGCCTTGGGTTAACTTTGGATGATTGAGTGTCATTTCTTTAACTTAGATATAAGTTGTTCCATCTCACATATGGTGTTAATCCACATACAGTGTAAAATGCCAGCAGCGGTATGGATTCTTCTCTGGTTAGCTAAAATATCCAAAGCTCTTTTATTATTAACTACCTTGGGATAAAGAAGTTAAACTGATTTCCAAACTGAATCTGGAGTCAGCCAGAGTGAGGAACTTTCTTTATCATATATCTATCCATATATCTATCTCTCTATTTATCCATCAATCTACCTTATCTTTAATCATGAATTTCAGAGTGAATTTTAATAGCATATTTCACCTCCATATATTTCAACTTGCATATCATTAATTAGAATTCAAAATTTGTTGATGATTTTTATTTGTTTCTATTGAGGTTAAATTTCCAAACTGTCCATTGAAATACACAAATCTTAAGATGCTATCATTCCTGAAAATTACCTCATGCCCTTTCCCAGTCATTCCCCACTGCCATTCTGCCAGGGGTAATCATCACTGTTCTGATATTTTTCCCACCATAGAGTAGCTTTGTCTTTTCTAGAACTTCCTATAAATGAAATAATTCAGTATATACTCTCTTCATTAAGGTCACTCGGCATAGTGTTTTCAGGCTTGTCTATGTTGTTACAAGTATTAGTATTGTTCATTTTTATTGCTAAGTAATAGCCACAATTTGTTTATTCTCATTTTGATGGATATTGAGGCTGTTTCCAGGTTTTGGCTATTATGAATATGGCTGCTATAAATTTTCTCATTCCAATATATTTCTATACATAGTTTTTTTCATTTCTCTTGAGTCAAAAATCTGAGTAAAATTCCTGGGTCATAGAGTAAGCACATGATGAGTTTTATAGGAAATAGCCAGAATTTTTTTCCAAAGTGGTTTTAGCATTTTACACTCCCAGCAACAAATAATGAATGACAGTTCTGGTTGTTCCACATTCTTGCTAACATTTGATCTTTCATGAGATACGAGTTATATCTCATTACAGTTTCAATTTCCATTTTCCTGATGTCTAATGATGTTAAGCACTTTTTCATGTGCTTGTGAATTCAAATTGTTTTCCTGTTACTAATTGGTTGTGTGTCCATAGAGTAGTTGTTCTGTATATATCCAGGATACCAGGCTTGTATCAGATATGTAATTTATGGATGTTTTGTAGTTGCTTATTAATTTCCATAATGTTGTCTTATGTTGAGCAGAAGTTTTAAAATTTGAAGTCTAATTAATCATTCTTCTTCTTTGTTTATTGCTTTCTGTGTCCTAAGAGCCCTTTGCTACTTTCAATACTGAATGATTTATCCTCTATTTCCTTCTAGAAGTTTCATAGCTTTAGCTTTTATATTTTAGGTATGTAATTCATCTTAATTATTTTTCATATGGTATTAGGTATGAGGCCAAGAATTATTTTTAGTTCATATGGATATTCCACTATTCTAATAATGTTTATTGAAAAGACATTTTCAAGTCAAATGACCAAATAGAAGTCTTGAACACTTTATTCTGTTCCTTTGATTATCCTTATACCAATATCATATTGTCTGGATTACCTTTAAAGTAACTCTTGAGGTCTCATAGTCTATATCCTTCAACTTAATTCTTCTTTGTCATGATTGTTCTGGGTCTTTTGGTCCTTTGCATTTCTGTATATATTTATAATTAAGTTGTCAATTTCTACAAAAATGCTTGATCCAATTATAATTGAGATTGATCAGTTTGGTGAGAATTGTACTTTTAACAATTTATTGAATATATTGAACAATTTATTGAATAGGCAAAAGAGAGCAATTGTCCTTGACAGTTTCCCAATTATACATAAAAGTCCAATATGCTACCATAAAGTATAATATTTGTTATATATTTTTGTGGATGATCTTTCTCAGATTCAGGAAATTCCCTTCTATCCTTAGTTTGCAGAAAATTTTATCATTGTTGGGCATTGGATTTTGTCAAACTTTTTAAAAACTATTGATATGAGGAGTAAGGAAAGGATCCAGTTTCAGCTTTCTACTTATGGCTAGCCAATTTTCCCAGCACCATTTATTAAATAGGGAATCCTTTCCCCATTT